GGCTGTGACACGGAGCGCACGGGGCAGCCTCTGGCGCAGACACCGGCCTCTCCCCGCAGCCGCTCGCGACGCCCGTTCTGGTCACCAGCGCTCGCGGGACCCGGAGACGTCCCCCGCAAAACTCCCAAATCCCTTCGCTGCTGCCTGTTCCCACCGCCCGTAAATCTGCCTGAGCGAACAGCTCCTACAGGAGTGAAATCCGGCCGCCGTCTCCTGCAGCATTCCAGAAGCACGGGTGTTGCTGGAGGAGGATGAACCGTGTGCTTTCTTGATGAGCAACTCCTCTCACCTGAAAAATATCTGCCTTCTTAATTGCTTTCAGGTTTGTGGTACTCGCTGCATGTTGTTCTGAGGAAGGAAAAGCAAGCGAGACACAGAGCCCCTGTGAGGTCAAAGGGAAGGGATGGAAAGGCAGCTCCGGCTTGGGGTGCAGTTGCCCAAGCTCTGCAGGTTCCAGCCACCTTTGGAAAGGATGAGCAAGGAATTGGGAGGGCTGCTGTAAGCCGGAGCACAGACCTTTTCTCGATGCCCTTTCTGAGGCCACAGCCCTGTTTTGAGCAGGCAGGGGAATGTGGTTGCTGACAAAGGATGGCCCAGAAGAGGTGGTGACACGTGTGTCACCGAGAGGCTTCCCCGAGAGCTCTTTGTCCAACTGCTCCTAGCAAGAACCTCCTAATATCCCTCCTTTGGCTCTGGTTTTTTTTTTTTTTTTTTTTTTTTTTTTTTTTCTTTTTTGTTAAATCAGTGCTTTTAGGAGCGGTTTAGCGAGTGGCCTTGTGGACAAAGCAAACGGCAGGGAAAGCACGGGAGCTGTGCAGAGGCATCCACAGGGTCGGGGATATGGGGGTATCCCCGATGCGGGGATGAACGCTCTGGCTCCACAAAGCCATGTGTGCGTTGCTGCYGCACAGGAATACAGCCCTTGCTCTCTCTTTAGCGCAAATTAGCAATAACCTTCCCCGTGTCTCACAGGAGCTGTGCCCGTCTCTAAAGAATCGCATGCAGATAGGCCAAAGCCGCGTGGCATTTCAGCAGCCCGTCTGGTTAGCTGGTTGCAGGACACCCCTTGGCCAAATCCGGCTTCTCTCAGCAATGCTGCTGCCTTTCTCCCTTCTGGCACCTCCCGAATGGCACCTCCATTTCCTTGGCTAGGAACCACTAGGCTAGGAACCACTAGGCTAGGAACCACTGCAGGACATGTGTCGGCCTCGGGGTTTCTTTAGCGCTTCCAGGATTCAACCAGACCGTCCCTGAGGGGCTGGCTCTGCCCCCCGCAATGGAACCGGCTCTTCCATGGGGTAACAACTGGGAAAAAGAGGCAGAGTAAATGCGGGTGCCCCGTGTGTTGTGGTGTGGCAGCCCAGAAGGACACGTTTTCCCTGGGAATGGCATGGGTTTGGGCTGCACGGCTGCTAGATACGGCTGCGGGCAGCATCGTGGGAGCTGCTCTGCTAGGGAACAACCCTGGCCCGAATGGAGCCTGGGGCACCAGGGAACGA